TGTGTGTGTTTGTGTGTCAAGTGACAGGGAATGGGCTACATGTGCCCAGATTCATTAAAAGCTGGAAGACCACTTATGAACTCAAAAGGAAGATTCAGTGTGTGGCCATCATTAAAGAAAAAGTCTGCTGTGACCTATCCAAACATTACCAGATGCAAAACAACAACAACAAAAAACCACTTCATAAACCCAATTTATTTAAAGCTAATAGATACACCTTTACAGTAAAATTTTTGTTTAATAATTTTTTGTGTACAGGATGATGATATGGTATTTTATGTGGAGGCCACTATAATGGACCATAGATTCAAGGAAAGGTGAAAAATAAGGAAGTCTAGGAAAGACTGAAAAAGGAAGCAATGAGGAAAAGCAATCATCAAAATGTAAGTTCTTTGAGAATGTGTGCAGTGTTTGTTACAAGGTGTATTTTCATTTAAATCGGGTCCCACAGATCCTTAAAAAGTCTAAAAAAATTTAATTACATTTTTTTTTATTTTAAGGACAAACAGTCTTAAGTCTTATTTTTACTTATGAGAGGTCTTAAATTTTAGTTGACGCTAAAACGTAAGACCTCTCATAAGTAATACTTTACCAAATTAAAACTATCTAATTAGCGTTATATGATTTTTATTCTTTCTTTGCGGATTGCTTGTTCATGTGGCAACTCGCGGCATTTATGACAGCTATTATGAACTGAATCTTGAAGGCCAAAAAGGAGAAGAAAATGAGTAAATGTAAGTTTAATTGTAAGTTCATTCTTTATGTTCATAGGGGTGGTATATGTATCGACTGATGATATCTTAATTATTGTTTTAACAATGTGTGAGCTGACATTGAGTCACTCCAGCTTTCACTGCATTATGTATGCAGTTATATGCCCCCAAAATTCAATTTTATACAATAGTTAAACTAACAATAAGTTAACATTGTGAGTTACATTTTAGACAATTGTCAATATTGTGTATTTTTCCTTTATTTCACCAGTGAACATTTCAAAATGAAACCACAGCAAAGCCGAGTCTCAGAGCAACACACAGCGGTGATTTGTCACTGAATGAATAAGTGTTTTGAACAAATCAGTTTAATTAATGATTCAGTGACCTATTCATAAAGACAGTCACTTGTTTCGTTCCTTTTGCTGTTTGAACGAATCGTTTGAATAAATGACTCATTCAACTCACTCATTAAGACACTGACTTGGATTTAGTTTGATATAACTTTTTTTTTTTGTCGGCACGCTGCACAAGGCTATCGGCGCCAACAATATTTAAAGTAGATTATAAATCATTTCATTTTTAAATATTGAATTCAAAAACAATTTTATAGCATTGTTTATACAATTGTAAATGCAATGTAAATATGTTAATGCCACCTCAGATACAGCTTCTGTGTCACCTCTGCATTGCAAAGATGGATATGATTTTGTTGGTAATGATTTCATTTGATTTGTAACTGCCCTATACTGTGGTATTATTCTATTTAAATTTAATTTGAATGTAAGAATTTGACATAATTTTTTTATATTTTTGTGTACGCTACTGTTCAAAAGTTTGGGATCAGTAAGAATTATTTTTATTTTTTTTTGGAACTGATCAAAAGTAAAGACTTCTATATAGTTTTGGACTTTTATTAATCAAAGAATCCTCAAAAAATTGTATCAAGGTTTCCACCAAAGATATGTTCCACCAAACTGTTGTCAACATTAATAATAATAATAAGAAGAAGAAGCTTTTGATTTTTGAAATTATGTGACACTGAAGAATTCAAAAATTCAGCTTTGCATCACAGGAATAAATTATATTTTAAAATATTCACATAGAAAACGCTTGTTCTAAATTATAATAATATTTAAGAATATTACTGTTTTTACTGTATTTTTCATCCAATAAATGCAGCCTTAATGAGCATAAGACTTATTTCAAAAACATGAAAATGATTCCAGACTTTTGACCAGTTGTGTACATATATTAGCAACATTAACAAGGTAATCCTCCCTTTCAGCTGCCAGAGAAGGATGATAAGGTGATTGTGCAGGCTCAGGATGGGTAACAGGATGAAGAGTAGGAGGAGGAACATGCAAGTTAGACATCATTTTCTCATACTTTTGGTATGTGCCATTAGCGTATAACAAAAACAATAAACCTAACTACAATAATATTGTACATTTTATTTGTCAGCTTGCAATTTGCAAGAAATCCAGTCTCTGATACTGCACTAGAAGAACATGTTCTACAGCAAAACACTGCATCAACCTTCCATGAAAAGATCAAGAGTGAACTATCAGTCCACAGAGACCACTTGCCTCAGAAGACCCTGCCCTCCGGTGGTGGGGTAAGAAAGACACTCTTCCTCTTCTCTCACAGCTCTGCAGCAGCTAACTCATCCTCCTCAACACTGTCTGAATGAGCATTCCCCACAGCTGGACACAGTCAATAATCAGAGGGCTCAAAAGTAAGAAAGTCAGCATGCTCATTTTCTTGAAGAAAAACTGGTGATGTATTTTGGGTTGGGACAAATAATACAGGAGAGATGCTAGAAATCTAAATATTGTTCTATTTACATTTCTTTATTCTTTATGAATGTTGTTATTTTCTTTATTTCAAGGACTGTAGTTCTTTGGTAATTGTAATATCGTTTAGGTTTAGCTTCTGATAGTAAAGTAGCACATCACCACCAGACATTTGTAGCAGTTGCCTCATAGGAAACTCAGGAAACAATTGAACTTATTTTTGCAAAAGTAAAAAAAAAAAAAAAAAAAGTAATAATGAAGTAACTGCTGAATCTTTTCATATCTTTTTATCATGTCTTTATTTTTTGTACCAAAGTATGAACAGTAGTATTAATAAAAGTATCGATAAGTATCTGTGATTAAAATCGTTATTTGTTTTATGATTAAAATCATTATTTGTTTTACATATACCCATCCCTAATGATGAGACATCATTGATTACATTATTCATTGATTATAGTGTTTAATTTCTGAATTGATGTGTTCAGTTTTCTGTACTCATGATTTGGACACACTTTACATGGTTCAAAATATATTGGCTTAGTATTTGGACAAAGTAACAGAATAAATACTGATTAATAAATGAATGCACTGGTTTTGGCCATTTTCTATCAGAATCAGTAGTGTTAATGATACTCTGTAGTTTGCATTGTTGCACTGTTGTAACATTGTAAAGTGAATAAATGTTTTGTTTTGAGATGCCTGTTTACAGTTTCATTACACTATTGTTAAAAAAATAGAAATATTTAAATACAGATTGAATACATTTTTTAAATAAAAAATGTGGCTTGTAAGGAGAAATTGGTAAATATTACTTTAAAAACAACAAGGCTTATGTTTGATGAACTTAAAACTGTAGTTTGTAAATTGAAAAAATTGAGTTGGCATCACTTAAGAAGTTGAAGTTGGAAACATGTAAAGTCTAATAGAACAAACAAGAATAAAATGAGTTCAAAATACTTAAAAAGCTGATGTAAATAGTTTCCTCAATTTTATTGAGTAAAATGGGCACAATATTTTTTACAGTGTGGGTTTTGTATTGGTTTCCATTACATATATGTATTGATCCCTAAAGGTATTCACTAATAACCATTAAACCATTAGAATTTATTTGTATTTATTTATTTTACAGAAAAAAATGTAATGTTTACTAGTTTATCAGTTCCATATGGATTTCAAGGTAATGGCCCGAGCACATCTCCATGCCCCGGACTAAAGGTGACAAGTAGATATTAAATATAACATGGTATTTTGGTCACTGAGACATCCTCGTCACATTCCAGCAATGTACTATAACATCACCAAAACACATACGTTGCTGCGACAAATATATCTGAGTTGGGGGCATGTCAGTGAGAAAACATGTCGGATGTCGGATGGACACAGCTATAGAATATAGAATATGCACTTTCTGTATTGATGGTAAATTTTTGAAATGAAGGATTTTTTTTTTGTCATACAATAAAATTATCTAATTGTATTGTACAATTACGATAGAATATATAACGATTTAGTTTATAGTACCTTCATTAACTGAATGAAACAAAAAATGCAAAAACTCGATGCACATTCCCTATTCATCATTTTGTAAATGCAGTTTGAATCTTGAATTTTATGTTGAAAAGTTACATCGCCATCTTGCTCTGACCAAAGTGACCTGAACACCCTGATGTCAACAACTAGTAAATACGAACTTCCCAGGAGGACTTGAACACACCTTATGGTCCAGTCCAGATATGTCTTCACAACTAAATTGTGTTTGCTGGGTGTAAAGCTAAAGAGGAATTAATGTCCTCATGAGGGTGGAAAGTAAATGACCACTGTCCAAATTATGTATCCCTTTTAGAATATATGATTAATGTCTGGACATATCTGCAGAAGGCTGCCAGAGTTGGAAATTTGTGGAGTAATGTAGATGAGATCATGTGACCTAATGAAGAATGCCGAGTTGACTAGCATTGCTATATACATCAATCTATGTTTACAGATTGATATGTTGTAGGCACATTGTTTTTTTTGTTTGTTTTTTTTATAGTTTCAGAATTTGAGACACATCATCTTTGTTTGCATGTTGAAATAGCTAAATTACAAAATCTGTGATTTATCCTAAACATGAAACTAAAAAAGAGCTGTCATTCAAAGGAATCAAAGATTATTCAGATAAATCTTTAGTTAAAGATTTTGTAATGTAGCCATGCATGTCTTTGTTGAGAATGTTTTCTATATTGTGGTATAGAATGAGTTTATTTTCAGGTGTAAATGAAGTGTTTTTATGGCATTTTGGAAGAAAGATGAACTGCTGAGTGTGGCTATATTTTAGAAAAAACAACTGCGTTAGGAGTTTTAAAAAAGTATACTGAATACTGAGAAATGTTACAAGCAATTTAAAAACCAGTAAAACTGTTATGTAAAGACATTTATTTAGAGCTGAAATGAACATACAGCACAGAAACAAGAAGTGTTTCAGTTGGTGTTTCTGAAGAAAAAAAACATGGATGTTTTAGTCATCAAATCATGCAGAAGAATCATTGTCAGAATGAATTAGAAGGAAGAATAACATCTGAAATCTGTTGATGGTCTATTTTATGCTCAATTATTTTTTTTCCATCAAATATATTTTACATAAGACTGCACAAATTTAATTCTAATATATTTTAATGGTAAATAAGAGTAAAATAGTGATCAGAAAAAGACTTCAGAGTGCCCTTTTTCAGACCCAGAGCCTGACTGATACTTATTAATATTAATAACAAAGACCTAGAATGTGTCCTAACGTTATGAAGCTATATGCATGTTCATTCAGTAAAAGTACTGGAAAAGAAGCCAGCAAGAATGATAATCTCTTCTTCTCTCTATAAAATCTCTATATTTTACACATCATTTTATATCATCATCAACATTCAATAAAAAATTACAGATATCAAACATATGTATTAGATTTGTTACTGTTTTCATTTTCCAAAATTGTTTTCATTATTAAAAATGAAACACCAGTGTGAAGTTCAGAAAGTGAGTTCTCTATCGATGAGTCAAGTTGAATCCTCTTCCAGACAGTCTGATCTGTAATGTGTATGATTATTATGTGACTTAGTTTAACAATGTAGTAATATATTATTTTATTATGACAAACAGTTTCCGTTTCTAAAGTATTCATTATAAACTTACCATCATTAAGTCGGTACCAGGATCCTCCCTATCAAAATAAAAAGTGATTAATAAAGAACTTGAATAGAGACATTATGTCTAAACAGATGAGTATCAGCTTGATTTGCTCTCATCTCCACTGACCTGATGATT